GTAATCTACTTGACAAGTTTGAATAAAGGGATGGACAAAACAAGTGTCACAAAAACAAATAAGAATTATACAGGAGTAAGTACAACAGATCAACAAGAAGCAGAAAGCTGTAACTTCCAACATTCTAAAGGAACATGCAGAGAGAGAGAGAGAGAACAGTGTGAATCAAAAGTTATTTTTTTAAATTTGAAAACTAAAAATCTAAATTTACCTTGAAAGCAAATTCTACCCAACTAAAATTGTGTCATGCAAATGAAGAATACAGCCCAAAAAAATAGAGCTCAGCACCTTGACATAATACTGTGCTGAGTAGATTTTCAAACAGGTACTATCAGAGTAAAAGAATAGAAAATTGTTTTTACTTTAACTATTATGAAAAAATGTTTGTTGACAAATATAAAGTGAGAGAAAGCAAACTGGGCCATTGATTAAAGTCACACTGCTAGGGACCAAACCTACAATGCTCACATAATTTTAAATATCTACCACAAATTAACTCAAATTTTTTAGAGTTTTGATTTCCTGTAAAAGTAGATGTTAAAGTTCATGTGTTCAGGAGTTGAAAAAATTGCAACAATCAGCTACATAGGCATTTTCACTTAAAATATCTTCAGTGGAAGAACAGAATCTATCATGACAAAAAGACTGACCAATTCTCATAAAGAAACAAAATTACCATATTTTTTGTTGCTACTATCTTGTTTATGAGAAATCAGTAATCGTGACCAACATTTTTTAATCTACATAATGATCTGACAAAGATTATATTATCAGTTTCCCCCTTTTTTTTTTGTTCACTCAATATAAAACAAAACTGCATCTGATATTCATAGATATATAGAGAAAGGTTAATAAGCATTTTTAAAAAGATTTTCAAATTTTGGGGTCAAATCAAACATGACCTGACATAATAAATGAATAAAAAAATAACTAGACATCACATCTCTGCTCCCCACTCACTAGGTAAAAGTAAAAATAACCCTTCAAGCAAAATAAACCATACAAATGCTGAAACAAGACAAATGTCACCAATAAACATTATATTTAATCATGTTCATAAGTAAATTTCAAATAAAAATCAAACCAAGTTTGATGGATTTATTTTTTTTAGCATAATTCAATCTAAATTTGTTCATTAAGTTCAAGCAAAATTTAATTCTCTTAAACTTATGTGCTATATAACTACACACAATTCCTTGTTCACCCTCTTCAATAAAAACATCCTTAAATGAAAGATTATTTATATATTTAAAAACCTGAAATAATAATTATAAAAAAACAATCAATTGCTATGAATAATGAAAATTCACGTAAAAAATAAAATAAAAAATTGTCAAATGTTTCTAAAATAACTTAATTTATTTGTGATTAAATCCTGAAAGTTTCATTAAAATTCAACAATTATTTGATTTTTGCAAGAATTTCCAAAATTAACGTGTTTTTCACCACAAAAAGATGCTAAAATTTCCTATACTAATTTACAGTCACCTACTGATATAAGGGGAGAAAAATTTTAACCAAAATTTTGAAGGTTCTAAAAATGATTAAAAAAATATAATTTAATAGTCAAAAAATTCTTTGATCTTTCCTCTTAATAACAAAAATTCTGACAATAAAACTGTTTTTTTATTAAACTTGGGGCATTTTTTTTTCATCATGTATGCTCATCTTTAGCAAATCTTGAGGTACCTAATAACAAAATCTCACTTACAAGGAAGTGCTGAAAAGTTCTCAGTTCAATCCACTTTCAAAAATATCAATTTTTTTTTTTAAAGGCTTCCTTGTTTGAACCAAGAACTTTCCAAATCTTCCTTGTTCATTACAGAATGAAAACTTTATCAAAAGTTAAAGGTAGAAGACTGAATCAAATCAAGCTCTGTGACATCATCACTAAAAGTTCAGTTGAATCATTAAGATGACAATCATAATTAACTTCTGTTAATCTCATGAGACAATAATTTGTAAATGTCTCAAATTACAAAATTTCTTTAAATTTCCTCTCCCACTAATTGGAGTAGGAATTTTAAATTTACTTAAAAAACAAACAAACAAAAAACATCAAAACGAGAGAGAGAGAGAGAGCGGAAGACTAATTAAAGGAAAAAGAGAAAAATTATCAGCCAAACACCCAACTCCCCCCCCCCTCTACACAAGTATGGGGTTCCTTTCATTTTTAAGTCTAAAACGTTTCTGGCATACGAAATACCGAATTATTTACCTTATTGCTTTACCTAGCTTCATATTCTGAGAATTATTTTTTTTCCATAAATAATGAAAATTCTACTTCATTTCAATGATCAATAAGAATTTGTAAACAAATATAGAAAAATAAATTCGTGAATTTTTTCACCGAGTTTATCCATAACTGAAGAGAGAAATTATATACCGCATTTCGGATACGCTATTTCTCATTTTATTTCTGACCAAGCCCATGGCCTTGTTTCTGACGTAGAACTTCATATCCAAAGGAGACTGATCTGACTTTTTTTTATTTTAATGATTTTCATTTGACAAATTTTTATTGCTTACAGAAGTTGAATCATCATTTATGGAAAAAATGTCAGACTATGAAACTAAAATTAAAATAAAAATAAAACAATCTAAGGAGGGGTAATTCAATTCAGTATTTTATTTAAGTGTATCAAAAACATTTTGGGCATCGGAAAGGAAACCCCATAAATAAAAATAAAGTTATTTTGGAAAGGATTTTTTTTAACGAATATAGGATCAGTTAAAAAAATGTTAAAACAAAATAAATGGAGGTCTCATTTGTGAATAGAAGAAAATATGTCGTTTGCAATAGGAAGTCAAATAATTTCAGAAAATAAAAATATCTAATAATGGAAAAGTTATAAAGAAAGATCCAAACAAAAAAACATTTTGTTTTGATGATTCTGAAATCTGAATCATAGCTAAGGAAGGACAGTCAATGAACGAGTAAAATTAAAATTTAAAAACATTTTTTTTCTTTTAGCCGATAAAAATATGCAGAATGCAAAATTTCAGATTAAAAAAATAAAAATAAATGGAAATTTTCATTTTCAAATTATTGTTAATTAATTCAACAAAGGAAGTATTTTTTTAAAGAAATATCTATAGATTCTATAGATATTTATAGTATAGAATTTAGCGGAGCCTCATGTTTTATAAATTATATTTTGCTTGATACCGTCTTTTTAAAACTAAACGAAACCAGTTTTTTTCTTTTCGATATGAATAAATAATAAATGCACAAATGTGAAATAAATAGACAATGGTATGCCTTGCTTCAGAAATGAAAATTTAGAATATGGAAATTTGTATTAATTAGCACAATTTGGAGAATAACGCAATAAATATAGTAGTTTCGTTTGACATTAAGACAAACAGAAAAAATGGTAAGAGGAAAAAAACAACTAGAAACCAACTTCCTTCTCTTATTTATTTCCTATGATGATGGCTGTTCTGAAAGCCAGTTAAAAAGAAAACAAGGATCTGTAAACAATCATATATTATAACACAAACAGGTGAAAATATTCAAGACTCAGTGGAATATTATAAAAAGAAAAGAAATAAATTAAATAAGAGAGGAAAAAGATAATGAAAAATGGTGTAATTTACAAAGTATTCGTCTTTCAAGGAGACATGAATGATATTTTACACCTCAACAAGGAAGAAATTCCATCATGACACCAAATACTACCAAACATTTTCACATAGCAAAAAAAAAAAGGAGAAAAGACAAAAAATAGCAATATTTAAAAAAAATAAAAATAAAAAAAGGTCAAGGATTCAGTTTACTATATAATTAAATCGTCAAAATTTTATAAGGCGTAAAAAAAAAAAAATGATGACTAAAGTGAATAATAAAGAAAGTGGTTAGAAATGAAAGAAACTATATACGACTTTTTAAAACCATTTTGCCATTTTACGAATAAATCGTTAAGTTATCCAGATTGTGAAGTTAAAAGAAACAAAGAAAAAAAACCTGTATATTATTTGATTCTAAATCTTACTGATATCAACCCAAATTATATTCATAACATTTTCCTTTCTACATTATTTTTGTTTTGTTTTGACAACATAGGTATCTACCCTCATAAAGAAGCAGCCATTTCGTTTGCATTTAAAATCAAGGCTTGATGAATTTATTCGACTACAGATGTTATTAAAAATCACAATTCCTACATTCGAAACGAGCAGGTCTTTGAAAATTCTGAATTCTTTCCTTTGACATTTAAAAAAAAGTGATATTCATATTTAAAATAGACTTTTCAAGCAAAGAATGTCAAAGTCGAACTGACCCATTTTTCTACCTACAGACGACCAAAATCGTTAAATTTTACGACTAATCTAAGACCATTTTGATTTCTTTTTTCACACCCAACTTATTTCTATATTATTTTATTACTGAATTTAATCCTGAATACTTAATTTCAACTATACGATATTTCTACAGAAAAATATTTATATGCTAAGATGAATCAAGATTTCTCAAGTTAAAAATTTAGATCCATTTAGGCATTCGTACTACAGACAAGCGAAGCTTTAAAAACCAAAACAACACTAACAGGTTGGTATGAAATGATTGTTTCCGCCTTCAGTTTTATTTACTTATTATATAAACTACTTTTCCTTCCATCAGATTCCTTTTTTTTATTTAAGGAAAAAAGGGAAAGTTCTTTAATTTTGTTAATATTTGATTAAAGGTCTCATCAAAACAGTAACTGTTTATAGATGGCACGCAGATGGACAAGGACTCGCCATTCCTCCCACCTCCAAATAGATTCCTGAGCATAAGCAATACATACACAATAATCAAAACTCCAAATTACGTAATACCTTCAATTCAATATTTTAAACGAGCTGACTATCCCTTTTTCTATTTGTTAGTGAAGCAAACCAAAAATAAAGAGATAACTGATACAGAAAATAAAATGATTGACTAAAAAATGATGAAAAATGTTTAGTTCACCTTGGCTTAGTGATAATTTAAATGATTTTTTATTATTGATACTTACCAGAGGTTCCTTAACAGTTTCGGGCTGTTCATCTTCCTTGGACTTCTTGCCCACTTGCTGAAATTTGTAGATAGTCATGATTTTTACTATAAATGAACCTGTCTTATACTTAGCGTTATACTCAAAACCTGTCTGTTTAAAGATGAATATATGTTAAACTTGAAACAACGCGTTCGTCTTCCTCATTACCTAGTCACGACGTCATATCAAGTTTTCTCGCGAGATTTCAAAGAATACCACGTGACCACAATCCAAGGCTTGTGGCGACTGCTGCATAACTGATAATGTATTTGGTAGTAAAGATGTATTTTCGTCATTCACTTTTTTATTACAATTTTTAGCATTAATTTTTTTTCGAGATATAATGTAGCATTATTTAATTAATGTTTAAAATGAAATAAAGTCAAGAGTGTGAAAAAGTTTCTTTTTTGGTAGTTTATTATTTTATCACTATTTTTTTTTTATATAATCACACACAATAAATTTTATTAGTCACTTTTAAATTAAATTTATTTCCTGGTTTTGAAAAATAGCATCTATCTGTCTCATATACATATATATGGGTGTGTGTGTGTGTGTGTGCAAATATATAGAAAATAGGAAAGAACCGTTAGTTAATAATCCAAAGTTCTTTAGTATTTTTGTTTTTATTTAAAAAAATAAAAAAAATTATATATATATATATATATATATATATATGATAAGATAAGGAACAAATAGGAAACATTTATCAATCTAACATGTTTCACTTTTATTAAAAGCTTCTCTGATGAAGCTTAAATAAAAGTAAGACATGTTAGATTGATAAACATTTTCAATTTGTTCTTTATCCTATTGTTCTGTAAGATTCCAATCCATATGTTATCCGTTTTGGTCCTAATTTATATAATACATATATATATATATATATATATATATATATATATATATATATATATATATATATATATATATATAGGATAACAATATATATATACATTTTATATATCAAGAACAATTTTGGGGAAAGATGAATGACAAAGTGGAAACAAGTTTTTGTGTGATGTGTTTCATCCTTTAGGACTTCATCAGACTAAATTTCTTTATGTTGGTGTGATTATACATGTGCACAAACAAGAGATGCTAGGAATTCTAAATTTTAAATTACTTTTCATTTCTTTTTATGTCTTTTGGGTGTACAATCTAGCCAATTTTATTTAGATTCTTTTGGTTTTCATTTCATCACTTTTGTTATTAGATATTCCACACTGTGATAATAGGAGATCTGCCAGGAACGGTGAAATGTTGTAAAAGCCTTGGTGCAATTTTACTGTGGATAATCTAGCAATCAAGACACACACTAAACATTTTCGGCTAAGTGAATTGTTTTCTTTCATCAGAGTAGCATTTTTTATATCAAAATTGTGGTCAGTTTCATTATAGTGAGCAACTAATGCATTTAATGTGTTGTTCTGTATATATATATATATATATATATATATACAGAGAGAGCTCTTTGCTATGGTACCTAGACTGTATAAATTTGAGTACAATACTAGACTGGCAGCAGAAATGCATCAATTTACAGTTGAGCTAGCTATATGTAGCTGTAACTTCTATGCTAACAGTTTCTTTTCTCACACTTCTTGCTTGTGGAACTTCCTTCCAGCTCCATGCTTTTCAGCCAACTTTAATCTGCAAGAATTTAAATGCAATGCCAATTGCTATCTACTGTCCTTCTGAATGCTCTTTTCTCTTTCTACTTGTTACCAGTATTTCTGTTCCTAATTCCTCCACACCCTGTAACCCCTTGTGTGTTAGTGGCTGTACTGCCTTACTTGGAGAGACACTGATATATATTTTTCTGTCTGAATTTTTTTTTAATAACTTCACCCCAAGCAAGCTGATAAAACCACTAAGACACAAGGTGTTACTGAGTGTGAAAGAATCTGAGGGAAAAAACATTATTAAAAAGAGAGGGAAATAAAAGAATAGAAATTAAGGAGACAAAAGATGATGAATTGCATTCAGTGATGTACAGAGGTTTGGTGATGCCTGGGGCAAACTCCTTGACTGTATGCATGGACCATTTTTCTATTCTATCAAGGTCCCACTCTTTATATCATCACAAGGTTCAGATCCCGCAAGCCTTCCCTCTGTAAACAGAGGGATTGTTTGCTGGGTCTGAATGTTATTGGTCTGTAGTTTTCCTTGAAATTCCCCTCCCCCCACCTTCATTAGTCATCTTTACTTTACACGTCTATTCTTTTTATTTCCCAGAATTAAACTTGATAAGACTAGGACAAAACCGGTTTTTTTTTTTAAATAACAAAATTTACAAAAAACATATGCCTTTTTAAATTATGTAATTCTTATTATATATATATATATATATATATATATACACACACACAGTGGTGGGAAACAAATATTCGTACACATACAAATTTTTAATTTATTGTATTTCCATTTAATGAATAAACATAATTAACTGTACACAGATGCATAATAACTAAATATGCATAGAAAACAGAAAAAATTTGATTTAATAGAAATAAATCCCATTTATCCATTTTAATGGGTGAAAAAAGTATTCATACAATACAAAAAAGAATACATAATCTTCATTTAATACTTTGTAGAATAGCCATTATTCACTTCTACATCAACCAACCTCTTCTTGTAGTTCTCAATGATTTGCAAATTTTATTTGGTGTTTTGTTCCATTCTTCTCATCTGGTCTTCAGCTCAGGAATATTTGTTGGAGCTCTCGACTGGATTTGAATTTTCAAATAACACCACAGATTCTCGATTAGTTTTAAATCTGGGGACTAACTTGGCCATTTCAGGATATTTACATTATTTTCAGTGAGCCATTTCTTTGTAGATTTTGCAGTGTGCTTAGGATCATTATCGTGTTGGAAGATCCAATCGGAAGGAAGTTCAAGATTTTCAACCAAAATCATTAAATTTGCTTCCAAAATATTTTGATATGCTGCAGCATTCATTCTACCATCTATTACTGATATGTTGCCAGTACCTTTTGCAGAAAAACATCCCCAAACCATGATGCTGCCACCACCAAATTTTACTATTGGAACTGTGTCCTTTGTTTGAAGGCATCACCATCTTTCCTCTATACATGATTTCTAGAATTATGTCCAAACAACTCAATTTTGGTTTTGTCTGTACATAATACTCTTTCCCAATATGATTTTTCCTTATCCTTATGATCATGAACAAATTTCAACCTGGCATCTCTGTGTCTTTTCAATAGCAGTGGAGTTTTCCGAGGGGAGCCTGACTTTAGATTGTTCCTATGAATTTCATTGCTTATTGTCTGTTTAGTGACACAGATTCCTGATGAAAGCAAATAATCCTGCAACTCTTGAAAAGTAACCATTGGATTTTGTTTAATTTGACACATTAATTTCCTTGAAGATCTTGAAGAAATCTTCCATGGAGCACCAATTCTTCTTTGGTTTTCAACAGTTTTGAGTTTTTTATACCTTGCAATGAATGAACTAATAATAGTAAATGGAATATTCAGGTTGTCTGAGATTTTCCTGTAATTTTACTTTCTTTCCAAAGCTTAACAATCAGTTTTTTGTGAATTTATCAATTATTTACCTCTTGCCATGATGATATCAATTACATAATGTTCTGTTTGTATTTTTTAGGCTAAAAATAACTACTGATAACATTATTGGAACATTCTAGAATATTCCACTTGAATAATCTACAGCATTAAAGCAATTTAAAAGTTTTAAAATCTCAAATTTGTATTTTACGAATACTTTTTTTTTCCCATTAAAATGGATAAATGGGATTTATTTCTATTAAATCAAAAATTTTTTCTGTTTTCTATTTTTATTTAGTTATTATCATCTGTGTACAGTTAATTATATGAAAAAGTATGTTTATTCATTAGTTGGAAATACAATAAATTAAAAAATTTAGTATCTGTCTATATTTCTTCCATACTATATATATACAAATATTTATATATATATATTATTGTATATTCATATTATATATATATTTATATTAAAATGTTTCAGCTGATTTTTTTTGCAAAATACCACCTCTAGAAGGCCAGCATTTTTATGGGCAAAAAACATTGTAATAAAGATTCCAATTATTCAATTTACAATAATCAAATAAATTAAACATAGTGTATAAAATTTTATAAAATTTTGTACTTTATATTCGTTTTCTCCACTGCATGTATTTTAAGATCTACATATAAGTGTAAAAAAAAGTTTTCATATGATTTCTTTAGGGCTTCATTGAACTAAAGTAATGTTTACGTTGATGTGATTACACATGAGCATGAAGGAGAGGGGATGCTGAAATTTTAAATTTGAATTTTTTAATTGCAGTTACTACTTGGTGTGAATGTCAAGGTTGAAAACCTTCAAAGTAAATGAATTCAACATGTGGAGAATTTTTATATATATACTAAATAACAGTCTGGAAAAGAAAGATGAAATTATATTTATAAATCTACAGATAAAAAGGAAAGAAAAAAATATGTGTGATTTGTTGTAGTGTGTGCCATGTAGTTTGGTTGAAATTAAGAAATCAGTTTTGCCCAGTGTAAGAAATCTCTTCAAGGATGAGTCCCATGTTGTAGCTACTGTATCTTGTGGATGAGAGAATGAAGAGAAACAGAGTTCATGACCTTTTCTTTTACACCACTTTATTGCCATGTCACCTAGTGGGTGTTAAATGAAGTCCTCTGGTGGAAAGCCATGGTGAACATAAAATTTAAAAATTAAAAATCCTGGTATTTTTTTTTTAATCAAATTCACCCCATGCAAGGCATAAAGCCACTAAAACGCAAGGGGTTACTGGGTGTGAAAAAATTATAAAACAGACATTAAGAAGCAAGAACAATAGAAGAGTACATTATTTACATTATTCAGACTATTGTCCTCATCTTTGTCAGATATTTATCATAACATTTTTTCCAACTGTTAAAAAGATTCTTCAGGTGGTTGGAATGTGCTGTCCAAACCCTTTTTTGACATTCAAATTTATATTTGGTAGACTGTTCTAGTTTCCTTGCCATGTTTAATGGATGTCAGTTATCAGTT